CCTTGATCTATCCCCTAACCATCTCTTCATCATTTCCTCTATCACTCCTATCCGATCTTGCTCCTAATTTTCTGTAACCCCTTGCGTGCTAGTAGCTTCTCGCCTTGCTTGGGGTTAAATGCTTAAAAAAAAATTTTTTTTTCAAAAACTGTATTTAGATTTTGATCTTAGATAAGCCATAAAGATTGATATGCCGCTAAACAAAATCACCCAACCAAATTTCCATCTTCAAGCTGCTGAAAGCGGTTTATCTTCTGTGATACGGCAGGTACAAAAAATAACTTATTTCCCAGTTGAAAGGGTCCACAGATTGATAAAATCCTAGTTCGAAAAAATCTCAACGTCTTAATAAAATAAGCGTGTAGAATCATTTTATGTAGTTAGCTCAAACATTTGCACGCCAGTGTAGATGTGAATATTTTTTTTTATCAACATATACATTAGAAATAGGATTGAAAAAGAACAATGTTAAAAATATTCGTATAAAAAAAAGTTCAATGTTTTTTTTTTTCTTCTCCTGATAAGTGAATGAATGACCTGAATATAGACATCTTGTTAACTTCTGACCAAGCGAATTTTAAATTCATAGGCTCGATCGATGGAATCAAGCAATAATATATTTTAGTGTCCGGAAGAAAAAAAAGAAAAGGTTTTTTTTTTTTTTTTCTGATTTTCATTGGCTGACTTGAATCAACGAATTTTGAGAAATGTCCCTAGTTATATTTCCCACTTTACCTTTTTCCAGACAGGGTCAGCGTCCATATAAATAGAAATTAAAAAAACAAAAAAAAATTAAAAACAAAAAATAGAGAGAGAGCAAAAGAGACGGAGAAAGATATATATATATATATATATATATATATATATATATATATATATATATATATAGAGAGAGAGAGAGAGAGAGAGAGAGAGGAGATAGCTAGATAAATAGAGGAGAGTAATACATATTTTCCAATCGTCAAGGTCCACAGATTAATAAAAGCATACTGCTAAATAATCTTTAATTGTTAATAAAATAAGTTGTATATATTCACTTACACGAAATAATTTTGAGAAAGGTATGAGTCTAGCTCTGTTCCCCTCCATCTATGGGTTAATTAGTAAAATTTATATCCCTAAAACCATTATTATCTCAAAGCATAAGCAATAAAATAGCGTACAATATATCTAGATTTAAAGAGATATCGCTACCGGTATAGAGAGAGAGAGAGAGAGAGAAAAAAATATATATATATATATATATATATATATATATATATATATATATATATATATATGGAGAGAGAGAGAGAGATACAGACAGACAGATATAGAGCAAAAAAGAAGCTGAGAAAGATAAAGAGAGAGGGAGAGAGGAGTGGAGAGAGAGAGAGAGAAAGAGGGAGAGAACGATATATATATATATATATATATATATATATATATATAGAGAGAGAGAGAGAGAGAGATAGAATAGCTAAAGAAATACAAGAGAAGAGTAAGACAGAGCAAAAAAGACGCTGACAAAGATAAAGAGAGAAGGAGAGAGTGAGTGGAGAGAGGGCGATGGAGAAAGAGAGAGTGGGAGTGGGAGTGGGAGCGAAGGAGAGACAGACGGTTTGGATATATAAGTATCTATATATAAACAGAGGAAGGGAGACAGATATATAGAGAAAGAGAGAGAGAGAGAGAGAGGGAAGAGAGTGACAAAAACAGAGAGACAATGGGAGAGAAAGAGAGTTAGCAGGAGAGATAAAAAAAACATAGAAAGTAGAGAGAGAGAGATTGAGTGAGAGAGAGCAAGTGGGAAGAGATAGAGAAAATGAGAAAGTGTGAGAGAAAAGAATATATATATATATATATATATATATATAGATAGATAGATAATATTAGTGGTTAATACATATATTTATAGTGATTAATATATATATAATATATAGATAGATAGATAGATAATATTAGATAATATATAGATAGATAGATAATATATATATCTATCTATCTATATATAGATAGATAGATAGATAGATTAATATAGATAATATTAGTAGTTAATTCACACACACACACACACACACACACACACACACACACATATATATATATATATATATATATATATATATATATATATATATATACACATATACATACATATATGAAGAAAATATACTGAAAAAAACTGACAAAATTCCTAATATGCGATTATGCTGTTTTAATGTTTTAATGTCAACTTCGGACGTTTCGGTCTAATAGACCATCTTCAGGACATATAATATCCAGATATATATATATATATGACAGATAGAATAAGAATATAGAAGAAATAGTAAAAAAGGCTTAAACACTAATATTCCATGCTTATAGTGTATTACATTCGAATCGTAATTACGATCCAATTCATCAGACCTACAAATTCAAAAAGAAACCAGAAAAAATAACTCCGGGTATAAAAAATAAAATTTAGTGAGAGTGTATGTATGAATGAGAGTGGGGGACGAATGTGAGAGGTAAATGAAAGCTATAGGGAGGGTACCAGACGAGAGAAGAACAGGAAGGCCTAAAAGTGAAGGTGGGGATTAAAATTTAACAAAGAAAAGTTTTAAAGAGAGGAGTTCATTTTTATTATATATATATATATATATATATATATATATATATATATATATATATATAGTGCTTTTTAATAAAAGTGACTCAGCTGAATCTTTTATGTAAAAAATTTTCGCTTATTGTTTTTGGTGTCAAACTAATTTTTAATCTTACTAATAAAAAAACCCCCTTCTCGACCACTTAGCAAGTTTACTCACCCTAAGGTATTCTATTGATAATTATAATTTTGGATATAAATGAGATTTAGGGAAAAATTCTGTGCAAAAAAAGTGACTCACTTATTTCCTGCAACTAGTAATCAATAGAAACATAACCGAACAGCTTTAAATAAAGAATAATAGAGGTATAATTTATTTATAATAGGTAATATAGTTCGAAATATTTAATAATCTATGGGTCCTCCTTTATTTTGAATAACCTTTTCAACCCTTTTTGGCATTGACTTGATTAGGTTCTGGCAAATCTCATCTCCAAGCATTGAATTCCATTCAGATATAAAATTCACAATCAAATCCTTTGTTGCTCTGCTGCTTTCTCGAGAGCCTGTACTTTATAATGCTCCATAAGTTTTCTATGGGGTTGAGGTCAGGAGATTGGGGCGGTCATGTCATAACACTCACCTGCTTCTCATCAAAGTATTCCTTCATCAATTTTGATTTGTGACGGGGAGCATTATCCTGCATAAAAATGAGCTTGGTGGGGTCGATTTGCACCCTTTCAGCTGAAGGGAGCAGACAAGACTCTAAAATTCTCTTGTAATGCTCGCTCCTGAGGGGCTTTTCAATAGGTTTTAAGAAACCAGTTCCATGAAAAGAAAAGTATCCCCAGAACATTATACTGAACGGATGCTTGACAGTACTTACTGCTAAATTCAAAAGAGCTTTCAAAGCTTCTTCTTCGGATTTTAGATCGCTTATCCTTTGAATTTAGCTCAACATTCGTTTCATCGGAGAAGAGAACATTTAGTAAAAAAAATCAGGTGAGTCACTTTTATCGAACAGCGCTGTATATATATATATATATATATATATATATATATATATATATAAGTGAACATAGAAGTCAACACTTAGAGGCGACAGTCTGTTTCATACTATATGCAATCGTCGGGCCACGTGTGCATTTTTTATATTTACATACGCTCTGTCTCTGATATTGATCACTTTATCCCATAAATATAGCACATCTTAAGACTATATTTCTTTATATATATATATATATATATATATATATATATATATATATATATATATATATATATATATATATATTATAAATTAACTGATTTAAAATATTTGAATCAGTTAATTTATAATATTTATACTCCATAAATTTTTCATTGAGCTCTGTTTTGTAGAAAAATAAAAATATCAATAAGAATAAGAATAATAATATAATTTCTTTATATCGCTCACTACATACATATATATATATATATATATATATATATATATATATATATATATATATAGAGCGATATAAGGAAATAGACAGAGATAGGAACAGAAAGGGAGTGGTGAGAGCTATAGTAATATAACAGTAGCAAAATAACCAGAGGAAGTGTGTGAAAGAAAGTGGGAGTTAGTGAAAGAGATAGATAGATAGATAGATAGATTGAGAGAGAGAGAGAGAGAGAGAGGGGGGAGATAGAAAGAGAAATAAAGAGAGAGCAAAAATGAGAGATATCGCTTAAGATTTACTTAACTCGACACATTTCGCCCAAAAAAATATCCCTCACGGAAGAGACAAAAAAATCGTAATGAATTATTTGTATGGCAAATAATCGAACTGGTCTCGTCTTGCTAATTCCAATTTTCCGACTCATTCATTTTGCTGACTGATATTAGGAACACTTTATCCCCTTCTTGTGTTTTTTCGTGCTTTAGTCGATCTGACGGCATCTAGATTTACATAAATATCAACTGCATACACGCAAAGCCTCCTATCAACCTGTTCGTATATCGCTCTCACAGACCGTTAGACAATTCAAATCGTCCAGATCTCTTTCGACCAACAACCTCTCTCATTTTGTCCAGTGTTTCATCGTATCTGGTTGAATAAACTGTCCACTCATGCAGTTTGGACTCCACAGACAGCAGACAGTTAACCTCCCAGGAAAATACTGACCGTCAATAGTTGAACTTTGAATTTATTGCCGATCAATGACAATGCATTTTCCAGGACATGGCACACCTACGTATTATTCAGCCGTTTGGTTCTCTCAAACGATATTTAAAACCGGAAACGTTTTCACAAAGATGAGTGTAAATTATGCAGAAATCGATGCTCACTAAAAAGAAAAAGTGTAAAGCATAAGATATTGCTAAAAAAATTGTTTCAATGATAATAGTCTGTGAAATAAGCTTATTATGGATTAACTTTTGACTCATGGCGAAGTAATCTATATGTATCCGTTTAAGTCTGTGCATATCTATCTATCTATCTATCTATCTATCTATCTATCTATCTATCTAGCCATCTATCTATCTATCTATCTATCTATCTATCTATCTATCTATCTCAGTCTATTCTTTGTTTTTCCTTTTTTTTTCTTTATCTATCTATTTATATATCTATCTATCTATCTAGCTGGTTCTTTTCATTATCTATCTATCTATCTATCTATCTATCTATCTATCTATCTATCTATCTATCTATCTATCTCAGTCTATTCTTTCTTTCTTTTTTCTTTTTTTCTTTATCTGCATACACGCAAACCCTCGTATCAACCTGTTCGTATATCGCTCTCACAGACCGTTAGACAATTCAAATCGTCCAGACCTCTTTCGACCAACAACCTCTCTCTCTCTTTTTCATCTATCTATCTATCTATCTATCTATCTATCTATCTATCTATCTATCTATCTATCTCAGTCTATTCTTTCTTTTTTCTTGTTTTTTTCTTATCTATCTATTTATCTATCTATCTATCTAGCAGGTTCTTTTCATTATCTATCTATCTATCTATCTATTTATCTATCTATCTAAGTCTGTGCATATCTATCTATCTATCTATCTATCTATCTATCTATCTATCTAAGTCTGTGCATATCTATCTATCTATCTATCTATCTATCTATCTCAGTCTATTCTTTCTTTCTTTTTTCTTTTTTCTTTATCTATCTATCTATCTATCTATCTATCTATCTATCTATCTATCTATCTATCTATGACCCAGACTAAGCGCGACCAACGCCCCCATCCCCAAAGTGGAACAACTGGATGATGACAAATCTCAATGGCTGAAACAGCGAATGAAAAGGGCTACGCATGATGGACATGCTACAGAAGGCGCCATTCGAAATTATAACCGAATCAGCGGCAGTCCGTTGCATTTTCATAACTGGATTCTACATGTTTCATTCTCTATATGCCACAGAGGAAGGTCATGAAATCAAGCGTGGGTCACTTCTTGGTCAACTCTTGCATAGGCAAACGGTCATATGGAATGGATGACGGGCGCAGGTTTTGGTGGAAGTGGAAGTTTCTAGAACTGAACCTGCCAGTTCGCGGCGAATTTTGTCATCATCATAACGGATGCAGTCAGCTAAGAAGAAATTAAATAATATTTATAATATTGAAGCATAACATTTCTCTTTTACTTTTCGAGAACAAAATTTTGATAATTGTTGGAAAAGCATTTCGAGTTGTAATGCTTGTTTTATTTATCTTTGGTTATTGGTTCAGTATCATCGATTTTGTTCCTTATCATTTATCATTCAAATCTTTTTAACAACATTTATTCTTTTCTCTTTTCTTATTATTTAATTTTCTGGGGAGCATTAGTAATTTATTTTAGAAGAATGTATTTGTGGATATATTTTTATTTTGTTTTATTTATTTCTACACAAATGTATTGCAGGTAATTTTTTTTACTATGAAAATGTGAGGCTGAAATTTTTACTATAAAAATGAGTTTTTATACTTTCATAGTGTTTTTATTTACCCATAGTTGGGGCCCTTAACAGGTGCTATAACATGTTAACTCGTTATTGGCATCTGTCCATATTTCTGAGATGAGGTATTATGTACACTATTTACATTATTCGGACTATTGTCCTTAAGGATACATGGCACAGTGGATAAAGGCGTTGGTTAGATCCAGTGACAGGACCCAAAGTGTGAGTTCAATACCCGGTTAAGGCAGTGGAGAATTGGAGAGGGGAATCAACAAGAGATAACTGATCACTGACATCCATTAAAACATGGCACGTGGAACTAGAACAGTCTACAACAGTGAACGAAATAAAGGATTCAGTTCGACAATCCAACCACCTGAAGAAGGCCGGAGCGTACAACAGCCGAAAAATTGCAATAGATATGGCGACAAAGATGAGGACAATAGTCCGAATAATGTAAATAGCGTACATAATACCTCATCTCAGGAATATAGACAGATACTGAAAGGCCGAAACGTTGTAATAAATATGGCGACAAAGATGAGGACAATAGAGGAATCAACTTGGCTAAGCTACTGGAGGAGACAAGCTTCATTGCGTGGGATGAATGTACCATGGCAAAAAAGTAAGCATTTGAGGCTCTGCACAAAACACTCAAAGACATTAGACAGAATTCACAAATCATGGGAAGTGTAACTGTGCTAATCTTTGGTAATTTTAGACAAACATTACCATTCATTGCAGAAGGAACTCCAGCTGATGAAATCAATGCTTGTCTGAAAATTTTTTATGTCTAGAACCCTGTTCAAAGACTCAGCCTGAAAACAAACATGAGAGTTAGAATTCCAGGTGATCTTGAAGCAGGAACATTTGCTGCTTTGTTCTTGCAGCTTGGCAATGGAATCATCAAAATGGGCCAACATGGAGATAATTCAGTTTCAAGAATCCAAGACTTGATTAACTATTTTTATCAAACATTAAACACCATTTTAGAAATTCTAACTGGCTTTGTGAGATCGCCATATTCGTTTCCAAGAATCAAATTGTGGATAGCATCAGCTGGAATTTTCTCCAAGAAATTCCAAAAGAAATCATGAAAGTACTTTTCCATTGACACTGTGGTTAGAAAAGTGCCGGCAGTCATTTATCTAACAGAGTTCCTGAATTCATTGGATCCTCTTGGAATGCCATCATACAAGCTGGAACTAAAAAAAAATGTGCTAGTTATGCTATTGAGAAATCAGGATCCTCCAAATCTTTGTAATGGAACAAGGTTAATTGTCAAGAAGATGCTTCCTTATCTCTTGGAAGCAGAGATCCTTACTGCTCTAGGAAAGGAAGAAAGAGTTTTAATTCCAAGAATCCTCTTAATTCCTCTAGATTTTCCTTTTGAGTTAAAAAAAACTCAAGTTTTCAGTGACAGGGATTTTATCCAATAAATTCCAACAGAAAGCATGAAAATGCAATGTAATGTCAATCAATAAGTCCCAAAGACAATTATTGAAAGTAACTGGACGTCAACTGATTGAACCCTACTTTTCTCACGACCTGCTCTATGTTGGTTTTAGATTTAAATTTAATTTAGATTTAAACACTCAAAATGCCAAGGAGAACATCAATTAAAAAAGGAAAAAAAAAAACGAATTCATAAGGGAAGAGAAAAAAAAAGCAAAAGCGAAAAGAAAAAAATTAATGACCAGTAATGGCAAGAATCAAAAATGGTAGAGACCTTCCTTCGAAAGAACTTTACAAAAAAAGACTTTCATTCCGGCTCAAAGAGGATAGAGAGAGAGACTAGCACACCTGGTTGCATCGTTAGTTGTCTGATGTCGTAGCTTGGTGTGTCAAAGTCCGCCTTGGTAACGCCAGCCCGACTGTCGCTGCCCTCTTCCGTCGGTCTGGCCGTTGACATCGTGTATAACTTTGATATGACAGGTGGTACTGGGTTAATTGTTCCCGATAGTACTGTCCGCTCAAACCTTTCCTCACGGTTACCTCGGGCTTGAACAACTATCAACCGGTCGTGAACTGTACCGCTTACCCAATTTCACTTGCAAAGGCTTGCGTTAACCGTGTTATAGATTTTCAGTCACTTTCCAAGGATAGCGTTCATGAAGATCGCTTTCCCAGTCAGATAACTTCAAGAAGTCCCCTGCTTGACGAATCGACCATGGTGAGATTATTTTCTTTTTCTTTGCCCCCCCCACTTTTTACCCTGCTGTTACTGATGTTTCTCGGGGCAGACCCCAACCCTAGTAACTTTTCCATCTTTTTTCCTTAATATATAATAGAATGTCAGTTAAACAAGGCATATCTAAAAGTTCTGTGGGCTGCAGATCTACTCTTCAAATAAGTTATCTAAGTGTCCATTCTTTGATATAACTTCACTGGAAGTCGACCCAGAACTGATTGTTTTCTTGTAAGCTTCTTCCAGAGTTAGGTTTCTGCATCTCGACTTTAACTAAGTTTAAACTTAGTACCTCGTCTTTATTCTTTTTCTTAATATAAGATAGGGTTTCCTATTGCCCGGTCCATAGTCCTCTCCCTTTTCTTGAGTAGTAGTAGAGGCTCGTTTACTGTTTAGGAAGGGCTAGATAGATAGATAGATAGATAGATAGATAGATAGATAGATATTTTTTAATAGTAGATAAGGTTTCCTATTGTCCATTCTATACCCCTCTCCCTTCTTTTGAACAGTAGCAGAGACTTGTTTCCTGTTTAAAAAGGGCTAGATAGATAGATAGATAGATAGATAGATAGATAGAAATACAAGGGTACAGAGATGGAAACAGAACGAGATAGATAGATAGATAGATAGATAGATAGATAGATAGATATTTTTTAATAGTAGATAGTGTTTCCTATCGCCCAGTTTATACTCCTCTCTCTTCTCTTGAACAGTAGTAGAGATGGATAATAGATAGATATAGATGGAAACAGAACGAGATAGATAGATAGATAGATAGATAGATAGATAGATAGATAGATATTTTTTAATAGTAGATAGTGTTTCCTATCGCCCAGTTTATACTCCTCTCTCTTCTCTTGAACAGTAGTAGAGACTTGTTTCCTGTTTAAGAAGGGCTAGATAGATAGATAGATAGATAGATAGATATTTTTTAATAGTAGATAGTGTTTCCTATCGCCCGGTTCATACTCCTCTCTCTTCTCTTGAACAGTAGTAGAGATTTGTTTCCTGTTTAGGAATGGCTAGTTAGATATTTTGACATGTTATAACCGTGTTATAGATTTTCAGTCACTTTCCAATGATATCGTTCATGAAGATCGCTTTCCCAGTCAGATGATTTGTAGAAGCCCCTGCTTGACAAATCGACCATGGTGAGATTATTTTCTTTTTCTCCACCCCTCTCTTTTTTTGTTACCCTGCTGTTACTAATGTTTCTAGAGGCAGACCCCAACCCTAGTAACTTTTCCATCTTTTTTCCTTAATATATAATAGAATGTCAGTTAAACAAGGCATATCTAAAAGTTCTGTGGGCCGCAGATCGACTCTTCAAATAAGTTATCTAAGTGTCCATTCTTTGATATAACTTACCTGGAAGTCGACCCAGAACTGATTGTTTTCTTGTAAGCTTCTTCCAGAGTTAGGTCTTTGCCATTTTAAACTCTTTGTTGAATTTCTAATGGCTATCTTGACTTTAATTAAATTAAAAAGTACCTTTTTTTTTTTTTTTTTTAATAAAAATCATTTCGAAATTCTGACATCTACCGCTGCTAAGCTTGAATGCTTTGCTCGGAAATTCTCTTCCAACTCAACACTCGACTCATTTGGAGTACCGACGCCTGATTTCCCTAATAGGACAGAGGTTCTACTGAGTGATATGCACATAACCCCGTCACTGGTCTTAGACATCATTTCGAAATGTCTCTCATAAGGCATGGGAAGGTGACGGGATCTCAGCCATCATCCTAAAGAAATGTGCTCCCGAGCTGACTCTAGTTCTCTCAAAACTCTGCAACTATTACCTTGCTGTTACTGGCTTTCCAGCTTGTTGGAAGACCTCCTCTGTAGATCCTGTTTTTAAGAACTCTGGATAACCTTCTGACTTCTCTAACTATCGCCTTATTAGTCTCTTATCGCTTTAATCAATGCTGAAGTTGTTAAGCCTCTTACCTCTCACGACCTTCTCTCTGACATGATATGCTAACGGCCATCAATGAATATGTATATCAAGGAGGCACGGTGGAGTAATGGATAGCGGCTTGGATTGAGGAATCGGAGAGCCGAGTTCGAATTCCAGTTAAATCCATTATATTCACTTACGTGGTAATACCCTTGGGAAAGGTGTGAATCCTCTTTCTTCTCCCTCCAGCTATGGGTAAATAGCAGGACAGACTGGGTTCTATAGCCTTGGATGGCAACTGGTTTGGAGAAGGAAATCTCTGAATTCAAAACCTGCGGAGCCTTGGTTGGCAATCCATTTAGTGATGGTGTCACGATAAAAACACCCTTGATAGCCCTAGCGAAGCATCAAGAATTCAGCTATTTGACAAGATTATGAACTACACCAATCAAAGTATTAGCTATGACAGATAAGGAATACTGGAAAGGTGTAGTGAGTTCAATCTGCGCAAGATGATGATGATGATATCAAGCTCTTAATAACAGCAGTGAATCTCGAGCTGTGGAACTAGATAGGGTTTGGCACGCCGGTCTTCTACGCATGCTCTAGAGCTACGATATTACTGGACTTAATTTGATTTAATCCAATCGTTCCTTTCAAATTGTGAAGTACAGTTGCTTTGAATGGGTTCAGTTTAGATCATTTCACACAAACGCGGGCGTCTCCCAAGGATCTATCCTGGGTCCTACGCTCTTTCTGATCTTCATCAATGGTCTTCCTGATGTCATCAGTTCCCAAGTAGGCATTTATGCTGATGACAATACCATTTATTCCTGTTTCAATAGAAAATTCGTCAGGGAAGATAGTTGCGGCTCTTGAAAAGCACCTCCAATCAGTGGTAAACTGGGGCAGGAAATATCTCATATATTTTAATGCCTCCAAAGCAAAATTGCTCTCATTTAACCATCATAGAGAAACTTTCTTGTCTGCCAGATTTACCTGTCCTCACGTTTTCGTCTGACTCGAAGTGGAAAGCCTACATCGAAACAATAGCTGCATCTACTGCAAGGAAAGTTAGTTCAGTGTCGTGCCAGAAGGTTTTCTCGTCAGAGTCGATCTTGCACATTTACAAGTTTACCATTCGTTCATTGAATACTGCTGTCATATCTGGTCTGGTACTCCTGCTATTCATCTCGAGTTTCTTGACAAAATCCAAAGAAAGATCTGCAATGAAATCGATCCAGACTTGGCAACTCGACTTCAGTCACTTTCTCACCGACATGACGTGGCTTCCCTCTGACTTTTCTACAAATATTTTCATGGCAAGTAGTCTGACGAACTTTTCCCCCTGGTGCTCGGACTACGTGAATTGAAGTGTTCTACTAGATTGGCATCTAGGTCCCAACATTTTAATTTTGAATTAGTTAAATGTAACCGCCACTTCTACTTGAACAGTTTTTTCTCGCACTTCCCAACTGTGGAACCTCTTCTGTTTCCTTGCTTCCCTGATAACTATAATCTTCAAAAATTTAAATACAACGTAAATCGCCATCTTCTATCTTCTTAAACCCCGTTCATCTTTTGTCTTTTCCTCAATTCTCTCTGTCTTTTCTTTCACCTTCATTCCCTGTAGCCCTCTGCGTACTAGTGGCATTCTCGACTTGCAAGGGGTAAAATCATTAAATATATATGTGATTATTTTGTGGAGTTGGGCTAATCATATAATAATTCGTCGAGCCTGGAATAATCCTAAACAGAATGCAGAAAGCACTGGACGGTCGTTTCGTCCTATCTGGGACTCATCAGCATTGCGCATCCACTACGGAGAATCGAAACTGGATCATTCCGATACGACGCAAACCTCATACCAACCGTACCACGGGCCTCTGTAACAACGAAGACACAAAGTAGACTCGATATA